ATTTTCCGCAGTTACCTCTAAGAGATTCAAGATATTGCGAATCTTTTCGATTCAATCTATTAAACACACTCATGCTATAAATGTGATAAGAGATAAAGATATATTGTCTGAAATGTGATATGTATTACATTATAAATTAATAAGGTGGCTGGGACAGATCTTGTATTGGCAAATGCCTGATATGTTAAAGCGTTATCCAAAGCTCTGAATTGTATTATACGCTTAAAATCATTGAAGCACCTATATTATTTTTATAAATGTTACATTGGTCAGAATTGGACAAAATTGGAAATCACGTGATATGTAACAGTTTCATTCATATTTATACACTAATTTGTTTTTTTAATTAATAAATAGATCTTAATAAAATTTACATTTAAGTATTGCTAAAACAAAATGGAATAATTAAAAAATTATAGTGTAATTTATATTACAGTTAATATAATATTTGTACATATACTTACAAATTATGTTTGTTGTTTGAAACGTAATTAAAGTTTATCAAGAAATGCTTATCATTTATTTATAAACTTATCATAGCGTTAATTTTGAAATGTATGATAGCTTATGATAAGGCATATCAATTAAAAAAACATAATATTAAATAAATTAATAAAAATAAACAAAATTTACAAACAAGAAATTTACAAGAAATTTCTTATAACGCTAAAAGTTGAGTGTTATACGATATTTTTATGTATATTTGTATATTTGAGATTTCCATTTCACAATGTGGTCCTATATATATATATATAGTNTTTAATTATATATATATATATATATATATATTTGTATTTTTACATGTATATATTTAATACACTTTTAAACATTCATTCTCTCAAAAAATTAGCCCCTAAACGTTAACTACATTTAAGCATTTAATCAAAATAATAAAACAAACTATAAGAATATTCTTAAGAATATAGAGCACTAGTTCAGCCAGCAATGGTAGAACTAGTTCTGAAAGCTCAAAATTGTAAATGATATGCATGCAGTAGAAAATAAGACAAAGTCTTATTTTAAGATCATATTCACGGCACATATTTTATTGATATGTATAGTTGATAAAATTGATATTCCTCATCAATACGTATTTATTTAAAGAAGAAAAACAGGAAGAAATTTTATTTAAACAAACTCTGAAATTGCTATTGTTATTTAACGCAATGTAGCTTTTCAAAAGCAAATTTAGTCTATGGTGCCAAAATTTGTTTCATCAGAGATTTTAAATTGTCAAAACTAAATAAATTTTAACAGAAATGCCAATTTCAAATTTTTTTCAAGTTTTTAGATGAAATAATCTGAAGCAAAACAATTTTACAAAATTATTTAAAAAAAAAAAAAAAAGAAAGAAAAAAAGACCATTTTTCGAGAAATTATTATTAGAGACAAAATTTGATTAGTTAAAATCAAATTTCTTCAATTTTTTTTATTACTTCAGCTTTTACAAACAGCTTTATTGTAATTCTCATTTATTTGCTTCAATTTTAGGAACACTTTAAATTAAAAATATTTAATTTAAATTTCTGTGAACATTATTTTTTAAAATATTTTTTTGGTTTCATCCTATATATCTTTGTTTCTCTTTTAAACTTTCAAAATTATTCATTACAAATAGTTATAAAACTGTAACAAGAATAACTGAATATAAATTTCCAATAAATAACATTTTTCAACTTTAAATATTTTAAAAATCTCCTCCTAACAACCATATTTTTTTTTACTTCAACCTTTTAGTTTCCATATCTCAATTTTTTAAAATATCTCAGTTTGCACAATTGCATTATAATTAACAGAAAAATTACTAATACATCTTGTCTAAACAATATTTACTTTATTTAAAAAGTTGTTAAAGTCCAATAATTTATAAACGATATCATTTCCTCCAACAATGGAGGTTCGAGCGAAACATTTTTCCCAGTGGTAGAGAATTAAAACATATATATTTAAAACAAAAGGAATTTTTATAAAGCTCTTATCTGAATTGAAGAGCATGACTACGTGCCTATCTGATATTAGGCGAGAAATTAGAATATATTATATCTGAAATTAGGTAATCTTGCAACTGACAGTGGCCACTTTTAGTAACAACTTAATGACAGTATTTTTAGCAAAAACCACTTTTCAAAGCATGTGGCCTCCTTTTTAAAAATTAAAAGTTTTAAGTGATTAAATAAATTGAATAATGCAAGTTTTTTTAAGCATTTCTCAAAATATGGTAAACTTTAAATAAAACAATTTTTAGAATATTATAAAATATTCATAATAATTCGATATTTATTAAGAAAATAAATAATAAAATGCCCATAGGATGCATTTTTGATGAAAAAATGTGGAGATCGAGTGGCGACCGGCATACAATTTTGTTGTTATATTTAGTCGCCATGTGGCCTGTGGAGATCGATAATTACTATCTAACTCTTTTTATATCTGCTTAAGTCATTTATGTATAGTAGTGAAGAAAATTATTTTAATTCTGATCTATTATAATATTAATGCATTATCTCTGCTACCATTAGGAAAGATATTCTCTGAAACCAAGGTAATTTTATAAAAGCTGGTTGGTGTGTCAGACCTCTAAAAAATTATTAAAGTAAAATTTTTCTTACTATATTAATGCATTAAAAAAAGAAACTAATCGCAAATACTTTAAACCAAGCAAAAACGAATAACAAAAAATAAACAAATTCGAGCCTGGTTTCATGCGCTCTTGGGCTTATGGAACTTGAAATAATTCTTAATAGTTTATAAAAAACATAACTCTTAGAAACATCTTTAAAAATGAAAACTGGGGATTAATGGATAAATTTGAAACAAAGTAAAGATTCAATTAAATAATTTCATTTTATAACATTCAGTATAATGACTGACATAAACAAGCATAACAAGATTATTTGCTTGTCTTTTTTAAAATTGAATTCAATGCAGTATTTACAAAACATGATTTTTTTTAAATATTTTGTAACTATTGCATTATTTATAAAACATATTTTAAATAGCACCAATTCAAATTATTTTGTCTGTAAACAATAAATATATAACATATACTTAAACTAACAATAATTAAATAAAAAATGTAACAGTTTGCGATGCAAGTAACTAATTATATATACGTTACTTTACAATTATAAAATCAAGTGTTTGGTGCATTAATTTAACCACACTTAACATTCATTACTATGATTAAGGTTTAGAGCACCTAATTATAGTTACTAGTACATGCACTAAATGCATGTACTAACTTACAATCGTGAAAGATCAACGAGACTGTTTAGCTCATTTTATTTAGCAGAAATGTTACTTATATGTTTAAAATTTATCAATAATAAAACAGTCATCAATCAACATCCTTATGATTTATAAATAATTAAATTATCCTTCAACTTTGTTATAAAACACATTTCAATGTTAACATATAATAAATATAATTTCTATTTATTACATTATATTATATAGTTCATTTTTGAAATCACATTATAATATATGTTACGTTTTTCTTGACATAAACATGTCCTTTATATAAATATTTAAAATTGAGACTCAGTACAACTTTGCAGAAATTAAACCCATCACTCATCAACCATGTTGAATTTTTATATTAAAATTTATAAACATATCTTTCTTTTTACATTAAGATAATAAAATAGTGCATTAGTGAATTTTCATTTTTAATGTGTGAATTAGTGTAATTAGTAAACATTCATTCATGGATTAGTAAGTTTTCGTTAGTGTTATTAGTAAATTTTCATTAGTGGACACATTTTTGAATTTTTAATGTAAAAATTTGTTAGTGTAAATTATAGCCATTTGAATTCAACAGTATAAATTATAATATATGCAAATTATAATAATTTGAATTGAATTTAAATTGAGAGCTTACAATACTTGGCGTAAATCGAAAGTAAATCGATTTATTGATAATTTGTTATGTGATAATTTGCTCTTAAAAACTATCCTCGTTTTGAAAGCTATCAATACTTGGCGACATTTAGTAAATTGGAGGTAGTTATAATTATTTTTTTTACAAATAATTTTTTTTAATTAAGGTGCACATTTTTAAGAATTTTTCATTTTAGATTTCTGATAATTTATTATTTACTTTTAAATTCAATTTTACACCGACAAATTTCTTGAATTTCAATTTCAAAAGTCAAGATTTCTTAATTTTCGCATTAAAAAATTTTCACACTGTGTTGAGAAATGAATAAAACATAAACAAAAAGTTGTTTTTAAATTGATTCCGTGGTTTCTAGGAGGAAGGTTTTACTTTAATTCAGAATTTTATAATAAACTTGGAAAATATACAAATATTTTCGTACTAAAAGCTTTGCTTTTTTTAAAAAAATACATCGCACTGCAAAAACTAACAGGATTGATGGGTGAAGTTCTGAATAATTTCTGCACATCATTTTATGAAGTTTTGCAATTAATGATTGTATATTAGAAGATGATTCATTTAATAGATTTGGGCTTTTGATAAAATATTAGTTCAGTGTTCAGTAAAACATTGATAAATGCGGAATAATTAATTTATCCAAGTTTATAAATAAAATTTTGTTTTAAATATCTCATTTCATTAACGAATGAAGTTGCACAATTAAATTCTTAGTTATTTAAGCAGCAAAATGAAACACATGTCAATAGGTAACTTAAAAAGAAAGTGGTGTACAACTACAATGAATTTTGATTTAAAAAAAACTTAAAATTTCAAAATATATGTTATTTTATTTAGTTTGAAAATTTGTAATTCTCAGCAAACTTAAGTTGCTATTTTTATAACGATTTGGGCATAAACTGCATATAATATTTCCTCAAGTTTTTACACTAATTATGAAGTAGTTGAAAATAACAAATAAAATAGTCATAATTTTTGCATTGTTTTTATTCCGTTAATTTAATAATTAGTTTACATATACTATTTCTCTAATTTTTAATATTAACTATGGAAAACTTAAAATTAAATAAGATATCCATAATTTTTGTATTTTTGTTATTGCGTAAAATTATTAATAGTATTTTATTATTAGACATTCCAATAATTTATCAATTTCAAAATATCAATTCATACTCAACTAAATTGCATGTTCACTTCACAATTATTCATTTATTTTCTTTTAAATCTCGATTTTTTTTTCACTAAGAGTATCAAAGAACCAAAACCTCTTACAAGGCTTCTTAAATGCAAGCTGCGAAAATGGGCTAGTCAAAATACTTGCTTAAACGTTTAAAAAAAAAAAAGGAAATTAAGTAAAAAAAAACATTTTGATTGATTTTTTTTAATATATGTGTATTTTCTAGTCATTGGACTTATTAATATGAGTATAGAGATGAGTTTTTACAGAAATGTTATTAGCGTGTAGTCAGTAAAAAGTATTAAATTGCACACTCACGGAGCTAGAAGGAAGCGAGAAGAATATAGAAGGCGGATTCCTATACGTTTGCATTAGCATGCGCACATCATCAATGCGCACGCCTTTATAATCGAGACCACCTTCCGTTATCGTCTCGCTTACCGCTTCTTCCCTAAGTGTGAATCCTGACTAAGAATTAAAAACTTAAATAATTGACTTTTTCTACCAAACACTGAACTAATAAACAGCCTAATAACTATAAAAATGTAACTGACAATACATATTTGCATATTTTAACTCGTATTAGAACTATTTATCAGAACTAATGCAGATTTTCAGTTGTGCGATTGTTGCTCCATTTGTGCAATCTTGAGACACAATTCCTCCATGTGTAGAAGACTTCCTTCCAAACTGTGGGCAAAAAAGTCCGAACTGGTTTCTTTTGAACTGAAGAAGGAGGAAATACAAAAGTCAATGCGATTCGAAAATGGAAGGTAGCAGCAGCCGTAACCATCTGGAACAACGGGGCCATACCCAACAAGTATATTGTATTTATCGGAACTGACTGATATCTAAAAGAAATACCACAATTTTTACTAAATTAATACAGATACTATGTTGTAAAGCTATGATAACACTATGGGACAATTATATATTTGTTTGTTTGCTTGAGATTTTTTTTTACAAAATTTAGATACTTTTGCCTCACTTATTTTAAATCTGTAATCGTCTTCTTTCTACAAGCTACAGTGTTTTTAACGTGTTTTAATAAACCTAAATAATATAAGACGAATTGTAATTAAAAAAGAAATATTGGTTGTGCATTAAAGTGAATTTTGTTTTGCGATCGTCTTCTTTCTACAAGCTACACAGAGATGCCAACTTGGACAGCAAATACATATTTTAAGGTGGTAGTTTATCAATTGTTATTCTTGGTTTAATAAATTCAATTTAGTAGATTTTTATCAACCACTATTTCTAAATAATTCGTAGGATTATATAATCCACCACTTCATAGTACTTATGTCATGCTATACCTTTTAAAAAGCAAACAAAAATAGTCAAATATTTGCAAAATTTACTTTGTAGTTATTTACCTTTTTTTTAATTATTTTGGCGTGTCCGGAGCAGTTGTCATTTCTGGCTACAGCGGAGAACTATTACACATTGCTGCAGTTTTAGCGGCACATACATTTTCTCTCTAATTATTAAAAGATTTATTATTTCATTTATTTAAAAGATAAAAGCAATGATGTTTCCTGGCGTACAGCCCTGTTAAAAAAAATGAGCTTCACTAGGAGTTTATTCCATGTTTTTCAATAAGCATTTATATTTGACATTTTGTATAAGCACAAATATTGATCAACATGGATAACAACGAATCGATATTTTGAAAGTTATGCGTATAACCTCGTATTTATTTTATTTTTTTAAATTGCATTTTTCAAAATTATTTCTTTAGAACTTAACTATGCAAAATCAATTGATATTGAAATAAATAAAATAAAAATTACATAATAAATGCCATCGGAAAGAATTGAAAGTAATAAAACTTGGTTGTCACGTGTTGGCCATGAATTGCATTATTTTTGAAGCGAATAATACGAAAAATAGCTACTTATTGTATTTAATTATTTATTTTTTAAAGAGTTGAACTTTTAATGAATATGTTTTTTTTAAATCTGTTGTTTTAAATATAAATCTTTATCTTAAAAGTTAGAGAAACAAACTTCATACAAAGCTAAACCATTTTGGGTATTTATTTTCCAGATTGCAATTAACCCCCCCCCCCCATAATTTGAGGGTCGATAATTCAAATCCATCGAAAAAGAATTTTGCTGAATTGAAGAAGTATGCGTAAATTCAAAGTACGTTTGTTTCCAATTTGTTTTGTTGCAAATCACAATATCATTCGCATTAATTTAGTATCATAATTGATTTTTTTCTTCAATTTTAAAAAAAACATTCCAGAAAACTAAACTTTTTGATTTTGAAATGTTTAATCTAATCCATAAAATATCCATTCTAAAAGTATCCAAGAAACTTGTGCGTAAATTAAACTTGTGTAACAATATGAAAAACAGAAGCGGAATTGGACAGGCATTCTTAGAATTGAAGAGTTTAGTGGAGGAAGCAAGTAAGTGACATTTTCAAGCAGACAAATGGTTAAAAAACCGTATAGTTTTGTATTCATAGTTTTATAACCATACTTTTTGTAAATGGTTTCAAAACCATAAAGGAAAAAAATATTCTTTACCGTAAACTTTACGGTTAATCGGATGGACAGACAGCTGCAAGTTATTTTACCATAATTTTAGAATGAAAATTTTAACAGTGTAGTCTATCATTAAATAGCCACTTTTTTCTTCGTTCCCAGAATATAGTCATTCTAAAAATGTCACTTACCTGGTTCATCTACTTAAGCTGTTCAAGTAATAAAATTCGGATGGATATAAGTAGGGAAAAAAATACAATATAGATTAATTTACCTGACTCGTGCTTAATCTGAAATTTAAATACTCCCAATAAGATTTGTCTTGAAAGAGGGGAATGTCAGGATAATCTTTTGATTTTGCTAATTCTCTGAGGGCTAACAAATGGTTATCTGGTCCTTCTCCATTCACTGTCTGCAAGTAAACATTTATTTCATTCATAAGTTTCATTAAAAAAATAACAGAAATCACACGTTCCCACAATATAATTGTGAAATACATTTTTTGTTGCAATTATACGAACGTTCAAAGAGCTTGGTGCAAAAAAAGCAGGTAGTCAATTCAGAGACTGCTCTGGGGGAAGAGAAACAAAAATTACTGATTGTAGAACTGCGTTTAACGCTTTATAAAGCCGTAAGAAGTATATTTCCAACCAAATTCATACATTTTTATGTCTCTATGGGGTAGCTGTTTTCTCACCTATGATTTGTGCGACCATCAGTTAACTTCAGAAAATACCAAAAAAAAAAAAGAAAAAAANAAAAAAAAAAAAGGAAAATAAATAAATTCCTTTTTTTTGACACACAATGAACAGTGGTGCACAAGTGCACCACTGTTCATTGTATAATTAAAAACTACTTTTATGAGAAAAGGAGTAGGAAGTAAAAATATTGAAAATGCCTGATTTTAGGTCGAAATATAATTTCTTGCATAACTGACCGTATATATTATGCCAATATTCCACTTTTGGTACAAGTCTATTTTTCAAAATGTTAAAGACTTGAAACTCAAATGTTTTATTTTTAGCACTTACAATTGGAAAAATTGAACATTCCTATTAACTAAAATATATTAATAATATACAAATAATTTTTTTCTGAAATTAAGTGGTTTTTATATTATTTAATCAAATTAGTTGATATTGGAATAAAATTTCCATTTAATTTATATGCAAAGCGTAGTTCGTCAAGTAAGGGATTTATATATTTTGCTGGATACGAATGTTTTTGTTTCATCACAATTAAAAAAATAATGACACGTGTTAGCAGTTTTAAACTTGGAAAAAAAATGAACATGACAGTTTTTGCATCTAATAGGTTGAAAAACCTGCAGCTACTCCTATCTTTAGGTTCAGTCACTTTAATCAAGATTGAAGTAAATTCAACAAATACAGACCTGAGATGCAAAAGCTGTACCTCCTCATAATATTTAAAGTGGTAATGAAGGCCAAAAACCTGAGCCAAAGCTGCAACTTAAAACTTTACAAATTTATTGTTGAACAAAACCATTATTTTTTTTTTCTTCTCAAAGAACCTCATTTCGCAGGAGATTTTTAAGAAACTTTTTTTTCTCTGAATTTATCTCGCTGTTTCTCAACGAATGTTACAACTTCGTAGAACAATGTCATGCAAAAAATGAAAGTTTCCTAATGTAATGAAATAAGATTTCATTAAGCATAATACTTACATAGGACATTATTTCGACTTGTTTTTTTATACAGGCTTTAAACAGCTCTACTTTAACTTCATCCTAAAAATAAAATGAAGCATTAAGAATTTGACTCTTGGAAATAACTTCATGGTATATATTATAGGAAGAAAATCAATTTAAAAATAAAATCTAAATCCATATTTATAAAATCCATATATAATAAGAATATATAATATGAATATATAACTAACATGAATATATAACTAATAAGAATAATTTACTAAACAAATTAAAATGAAACTTTAATAAGAATAATTTAAAAAAAATTTTAAAATGAAAGCTTAACATCAATTATTACGTTATTAAAAAATAATATAACAGGACGCATATAACACGGAGGAAAATATAACAGGACATTTTTAAGTTATTAAAAAATATAATGGGGCAGATACATTTTTTTAAGATATTAAAAAAAAGTAACAGAACAGATATATATTTTTAAGTTATTAAAAAATAATACAACTGGGCGGATATAAATTTTTAAGTTATTAAAAAATAATACAACAGGACGGACATATATTTTAAAATAATATAACAAAAATATTTTTAAGTTCTTTGAAAATAATACAACAGGCTGGACAGATATATTTTAAATTATTAAGAAAAATAATATATCAGGACAGATATATATTTTTAAGTTCTTAAAAAATAATATAACAGGACGGATACATAATTTTAAGTTATTAAAATTAATGTAACTGGAGAATATATATTTTTAAGTTATAGAAAATGTAACAAGTATACGTGCCGTTACTTGTGGAGCATCACACATGACTTTGACCCACTCCAGAGCTTCGGCTGTTACTGATCTAATAGAATCTACTCGTCCATCTCTAAACCTTCGGAGTGATGCACTTTCGTAAGTAGAAACAAGTTTTCGGTGGACCCTATAAAAATTGAAAGAAAAAAATTTTTACTCCAGTAAAAGCATCGACTTTCATAATAACTTCCATTTATTGTGAAGCGTGGATACTTGAGATTAATGGTTATTGTATTGGAATATAAATGAGTTTCAGAAAATTGGAGGATAAATTAAACATTGAAGAACACAAAATGTAGATTGTTTATTACGCGATAACACAAGATCAAATGGATTAGGGACTTTTCGTTAATTTCTTGGTCTATTATATTCAGGTTTGTGTGTTCGTTGCAAAGAATAACTCTAAGATCTTTTTTAAGTTGAAGAACAGATAGTACAAATAAGAGAAAGACATTACGAAGATCCAGCGCTCAGAATTATGGCTGGATTCGAACTCGTTAATTGCACACTACAGAGTGTTGGTGGTTGGCCGAGACTGTTTGACTTGGGAGTTCCCGATATGCCCAAAGATGCCAACTGCTCTGGATTCGACAAAATATTTTAGAAAATGGCAGAAATACAAACCAAAATTTGCATATTTCCGGTTAATGTTGTCTACTTTTTAAAAGGCTCGACACAGAAGTGTCTGTTCATATAAGTCTTTGAATTTTTTAAGTAGTAGTGAGTAAGAACTCTATTAATCGAATTTACTGAACCAATAAGAATCAGTAATTAAAAGACAACCACTCGGAAACATTTATCCGCTTTCCGTTGGCATCTCTGTTTACCAGAATTTCTGTTTTATACAAAATATATAAATTTTTTTTCGTTCACTATGGTGGCTAAATGGATCCAATTCTTTTTAACCCTTTCGCCCCAACTGTCACAAATACGTGCCAGCTTAAAACCGTATCAACCAGGGTAAAAAGATAAAACTGGTAATCAAAGTAATTCTTTAGCAGTTTATTTGTGGGCGGGGTTATAATTGTTTGATTTATTTAATTCACCATTACTTTAATTCACCAATACTTTTATTTAGTTATACTTTTAATTAACTTTGATTATATATATGATTAAACTAACAATAATTGAAGTAAAAGCAAAGTAAGTCTGTCAAATTAGCAGTGACTACATTTAAGTTACCGTTCATTATTTATTTACATCCTGATTCTGATTTCATACGAATGCTTTTATGAATCACCCGTCCCCAAAGGGCTAATTCTTGGATAGATTAATTTAATTTAAAATGATTTTTACCACAGCTACATTTTAATAAAATAAACACATGTATAAATGCGAGATAGTCATACCTTGATATAATTAAGTACCTTTTCGAAATATTTCTTTAGTGGTAATGAGCAAACTGAGATAGTTTTAAAATAAAGGGAAGTTCTAATTTTTCCCCCTCAAAACTGTTAAAGATAACCGTGTATAATATTATGGAACGCTGCCAACTTCTAGATTTTTTTCAAAATATTTCTTAGAGTGTTAGACAATTAAAAACTAAAGATTTCATATTTGTTCTAATTTTTCCATCATTTTAAAATTGTCACCAATAAATATCTATTATTACATTATAAAATTATTTCAAATCAAACTTACAAAACTAAGAAACATACACTGAAACATAAAGAGGAAATTTTCGTGAAAAGGTAGAAGGTAGGAAGCTCTGTATTATATATTAATCTTGTTTAATCTAGCTTTTACAAAAGATGTCTTTTTTTTAAAAAAATAACAAATGTATTATATATTAATGTAGATATTTTAATAATAAAGTTTGATTTTCTTAGAAAGAGAGAGTGAGTTTGTAATAAGTTTACGAAGTTCCTGTTGAAAAAGCTTTACAATGGATTTCTCGTTTTACCAATGAAACTACTTTGAGTTTTAAAATCATAAAAAGTATACAACACTCTAGAGATGGACTCCTGAAACATTCAGAGACGATGCAAAAACGTTGTTTCCTTGGGGAGCAGTCACCCCAACTTTACGACTTCAGCTTTCGCTTATATCTGATAGATGGCAGCACAGCATTTTTAAATCGTTTTCTTTCATTTTGAAGATTTAGAGAACAGTACAAAATCGATAATTTTGAGATTCAGCAGAAGCTTACAACTTAGGAAATCTCTCTGAACGAAAAGCAGAATAAATAAGGCGAGGTAGAATAAAAAAATACAAGTATGTTATTTAATTTACTACCAAACGCTCTTAAATCATCGAACAAGAGTAAAACAGTTTTTTTTCTTTTCTTTTTCTCCTTTTAGATAGCAAAACTAGTTTTTATTTTTTTATTTTTTAGATAAGTTTTGTTAACGGCAGAACTACAGGAGCAAGAACATTTATAAAATATGCAAAATAAAATGCTTTTCTTACGAAAAAAATGAGTTTGATTATGGAGCATGAAATGAAAAGGCATTTTGCAAATTGCTTTTGATTTTTTTTTCTCCTTTTGTTTCTGTAACAAAAAAATATCCTGCTTTTAACTGGTTCTTGATAAAACTATTTAAATTACTTCTATACTATATTATCAAAATACCTCTACCTGTTCATGTAATTCGTTTTATTTTAATAATTGTAACGTATTGTTTGTTATATAAGTATTTACATAATCTATAAGTATAATAAGTATATAAGTAATCTATTCCAGATTAATTTTGAGAAAATTCAACATTTTGTTGGAATTTATAAATTACCATGATGAAAAAAGTAGATTATACGAATTTAATTTTTTACCATTAATTAACACTTCAGTTTTAAAGTACTACAGTTGCATAATTTGTGATCATCTCACAGATGTTTTAATTATTGATATATTATAATGAACTCGAATGTCTTGTGTTATCAAGTTAATATTCAAAACAAAAATAACCACATTACAAGTCTTTATTTTATCCAAAAAGTTGCTGGGAAAGTATTTTTAATGGGTTTAATCTAGTGGTCGGAAATAAATGGTTCGCGAGTCACATGTGGAATTGCCAACTTGCTCCGTTTCCTGAGAAAATATTTTCCAGTGGAAAAAACTTATGTTCTAATGTTGAATGTTAAATTTATTAAGTTTAGATGAAACTGAATTTACCAACTACAGCATAAAATGAAAATGAAAATGTCATTTCATTGTACATTCCATGCAGAGTCTCTCAAAGCATTTTTAAAATGAAACGAAATTCTGAGAATTTAATGATTAAAATTGTACCACCAAATAAAATATTTTGACGAAAGAGTAACAGTTCTGCACATTGAAAATTTTTGTAATTTGAGAGCGGTTTTTATTTGGATTAAACGCGAATGAGCAGTGTCTTTCCAATTATGGGTTCGCTTTTATCAGTAAATTGATCAAAGTTATATAACTTTTTTGACAAAATAAAAGAAATAAGGAAGAGTGAAAATGAAATTACGATTTTAAATTGTAATTATTATCAGAACAAAACCAAGCGGGCCACACCTGTCTTAACCAAAACAATGCAGATCACGCAAAAATAAATTTTCAAAAAAAATAAAAATTTAAATGTGATTTCAAAAAAAAAAAAAAAAATTTGATAAAAATAGTATGTTATACCATGTCTATAATAATAATGTCTATATAAATAGTATGTATACCTTCTCTGATCTTTCTCATATGCAAAACTTTGCAGCAATGTAAAAAGTGAAGTAAGACAAATTTCCATGTGATAACAGTAAATATATGTTCAGAATTAAAAAATTACAATTGTTTTAAGAAGTTATGAAATTGAGTTTTGAGTCAGCATACTTCTTAACACTAGGTTTACGGGACGCGTCATTTTGGACCATTTCGAATTTTATAAAGAAAATTACAAAATCCGTTTGCATTTTTACTTAATCTCTTTTAATGACTTTTATCCATTGATCGAGGTAAATATATATTAAAGTCTATTTTCTTCAAAAGCGTTGAAATATTGAAATTCTCTTTGCGGTATACCTATCTCTACGGATATGTGTCAATTTGACGCGATCGTAATTTAGGCAAAATTTTGACTAAACATGCAAACATCACATCAATAATAGATAGGAATGTGCCGACAATACTTCGATCCGTTATCTCAAATGAAACAAGCAATAATAAAAAGAACAAACGCAGAATGTCAATTGATGTCAGATTTTGAAAGTTTCAGTTGCTTAGTTCGAGTATTGAAAAATAAAATATTTCATAAATATATATCTCGTTCGTTCGTTGTTTTAGAACTGGGCATCTGATGCCTAAATGGCCCTTATCCTATTCATCATGAAATATCCCAAAGGGACATACATAGGAAAGTTGTATTGGTGGTTCGGAAAAGAACCTGAAATGCGATAAAATAATGAAAGGCATCATGAAAGATGTAGCAGGCTTGATGGTGAGAAAATATATATCTCATATTTTGATTTTTTTCTTATAGTAAATAATTATATTGCTTTCTAAGTGCAGAGATGCCAACTGCTCTGGACACGCCAAAATAACTTTAAAAAAAAAAATAGTAAATAACTACTAAGTAAATTTTGCAAATATAAAGTGGTGCAATATATAAGCGTGTTCTTAGCGTATATAAGAAACGTCCGTAAAGCTAATGTTAAGGAATACTAGAAACAAAACTCGCAAACAGTTTTCCCTTTTTCAGCTATTTCCTAAGAAGTGGTTGCTTTTCCTCTTTAACTATACTAACGCAGAAAAGCTGTTTTACAGGGTTTCCCAAAAGTTCGTGAGATTTTTTATGCTAAGTTTACCAGCGCCCTGAAGAAACTGAAAAAAGTGGTAGTAATATTTTTATACGAATATTGGAAAACATAAATATAAACGAATGTATATTGGAATAAATACTTAATCTTTCCAAATTACCATTCTTAGTACAGAGATCCTTCGCAAGGATTCTCGAACAAAAAGAGGTGAGTTTTCGAATGTTCTTTTAGAAATTTTGCTACAAGTTTCCTAGATATTTAGAGGACGATGTTTATCTTATTTTATGCCTCCCTTTCTCTCAATTATAAGATTGAATTATTAATGGTAATTGAATATTTTTACCGTAAAGATATTTATTTTAATTTTTTTAAGATTAAGAGGGATTTTCTCTTAAATATTTGTAAAGCAAAGTTAACATTAATCTTATAATATTTGAGGTCTTTTATAATTATATTGTTTCGAAACTTGTATAGAATATTAATATGTATGTTTCCTCTCTTCTGATACAAACATTTTTAAAGAAATTGATCAATTAGTTTGCAGGAATGAAAAGAGTAACAGCCAATCACAAGGAAATAAGTGAATAGCAACTCGATCGTAACTTCGGTATTTGTTTCAAACTTTTTTCAGATCATACAAACCACGCACGTCATTAGATGTTTTAATCAATTAATATCTTTTTTATTTTATCATTAGATTCAATCTGATTGAAACTTATTTTCTTTACTATAAATTTCTTATTTTTTGGGGTATTATAATCTACTAGGGTATTACAATAATGCTAGGTATTACATAAGTAGGATATTACAACTGCTTAGAATATTTTTTAATTTATTAATAATTATTTTATCTTTGTTGTTCAATCCCTTAAGCAATGCATGTTCCGATTGAAATTGAAGTTATGTTATTATTAGTTTCTAAGTCCCTCTTAGAAGAATAATTTTTCCATGTTAATCATTTTTATTTTCTCAATTTATTAGATCAAATAAACACTGTGTTATTTAAAAGAAAAAGCACGAACTAATTTTACTTTCAGCTTCTTACTTTTAACGGTATCAATTCCTAATTTTGTAGAATGAATTTCATTAATTATTCCTTCTTTATTGCTGACAAAAATTCTACTGGTATAAAGGGCAATCATGATATTTAAATAGAACAAAAGCGAAAGAAAAATGGTGTCACATTTCAATATCTCGAAAATTGTTCTCATAAATCTCAACCAACTTCTACCACCACTTTCCTTGGTTCTACGCCAGCAGCCTCAGCCACTGAACATTTTACAGAAAACCACTTTTACAAATTGGCGACAAAAACTAGTTTCTCTTGTCACCCTTCCCCATAGCACGCAAACACAGGAAGCAGCCAAAGAGAAACTACGGAAACGAGATTTCACGGAGATTATTTATTAATATGGAAACACGTGTTGCTTGCACCAGATTCCAACCCCCCATACGGAAATGCGTAATCCAGGTCTCTCATTAAGGGAAATAATTGAGGGAATAAAACTGACGTAAGCAAGGCGTCTGGAATATCTCTGTGTTCACCCTACGCAAAGATGGGGGCACAAAATCAGTGCTAATTTTGTAAATGAAGGGGAGAAATATGAGGAAGGGGAATTCTTCGCAGTTTTGTGGTACACCAGAAACCACTTGAATAGGATGGGGGAGGTAGGGAAATATTCTGGTGTCGTTTCAAAAAAATATGCATTGTTTTATACTTGTGCAATTAGGAAAATAATTTCTGCTTTTTTTCCTCAAGGTACATACATAGTGGTACTTGAAATTAGGAAAATAATTTCTGGTGCTGTTTTAAAAACATACACATTGTGACACTTGCAATTAAAAAATAATTCTTTGTGTTGTTTCCAAAATATATGCGATATGGTATTTGAAATTAGGAAAATATTATCTGGTGCTGTTTTAAAAACATACACATTGTGACACTTGCAATTAGGAAAATAATTCTTTGTGTTGTTTCCAAAATATATGCAATGTGGTACTTGAAATTAGAAAAATAATATCCGGTGTTGTTTCCAAAATATATGTTTTAAAATCATACACATTATGACACTTGCAATTAGGAAAATAATTCTTTGTGTTGTTTCCAAAATGCATGCAATGTGGTACTTGAAATTAGGAAAATAATATCTGGTGCTTTTCTAAAAAAATTATGCTTCGTTTTATTTGAGCAATTGGAAAATTAATTCCTGTTATTGTCTTCAACCTACATGTATTGTGATACTTGCAATTGGGAAAGCAATTTCTGGTGTTGTTTCTAATATGCATGCATTGTGGTACTTGCAATTTCTGGTGTTGTTTCCAAAATCTATGCATTGTGGTATTTACAGTTAGGAAAATAATTTCAGGTGTTGTTTTCAAAATATATGGATTGTGGTACTTGTAACACAGAAAACAAATGACACAGAAATTAGGGTCCTCGCAACTAGGAAAATAATTTCTTATGTTGTTTCCAAAATGTATAAATTGTTGTATTTGTAATTACAAAAAAGTCATTTCGGGTATTGTTTCTAAAATCTTTGTGCTACTTGCAATTAGAAAAAATAATTTCTCTAGTTGCTTCCAAACTATATTATAGCACTGCCACTTAGGAAAATATTTCTTCGAGTAATTGTTCTAAAATATATGTATTGTGTTACTTGCAATCAAAATAATAATTGGTGCTGTCTTCAAAAAAATGCATTGTACTTTCAATTATTTAATTTAAAAAATTTATGTTATTACCAAAATATATGCATTATTTGGTATTTTCAATTAGGAAAATAATTTCTTGTGTTTTTTAAATTGAACACTAGACCGCATACATTGAATCAAATAAAATGAATAATTTTTATAATATTTTGTTTTTATATGCAAGTGAAATGTGGCAAATATTTAGACTGAAGGATTTAAGAGTTTTAAATCCTCATAGGGGTAAGACTATTTTTATTAATTGTCGTACTGTTCCTCTTTATTTGTTCATAAATTATCATCAATAATCTTTGCAAGAACTGATTTAACAAAAACCACATAATTAGGCTATTGCATCTAACTAGGTTCAGTATAAATGGGTTTAGGAAAATTAATATTTTGTTACTGTCCACTTTAAAATCTTTACAGTTTTATTTAAGTCGGATATCCTACCACCTTCTTCATAAATGCACTATTCATATTACTAGAGAATGTTACATTTACGCGTTCTTGGCACGGAAAGGATTAACTTTATTCCATTCAAAAACTACTTGAAAACTTGAAAATATTTATTCGCTGCCACGGAGCAAGTTGGCATCTCTGTGTATATAAATAAAACTATTTTTGTTTGTTCTATATTGCATTCATTTCTTTAAACCCTTTTAGTAACGATAATAATATTAAAAAAATTAAAAATTTACTCGAATTATGTGTTTCTAATAATTTTGGTTCGCCGGCCACCGGTGACCCCCGTGGCGCTACAAACAAACTCAGTGCCGGTCACCGTTAACCCCCATGGCATTCAACGTGTTAATGATGTTAGTTACAGGTATAAGATCCTTCGCTTCGAACGGCTCACCTATTAAATAAGTAAACTTACTTATAGAACGTAAGCTGAAGAGCTATTTGAATGAAAGCATCAGGACTGATCTTGTGAGATTTGATGAATTCCCTTCCGTACTTAGAAAATCGAAGACAAAATAGATCAACATCACTGCATAACCTGAAAAGTATCAAAGTTTAATTTAATTTAAAATAAAATAATTAAATTTAAAAACAGTCACTCTTTATTGTTCTATACTAGCATTTCTATTGAAAATCTGACAGCTTTCAATATGTTAGTCCTTTTGTGTCTAACATCCTTTAAAAGAACGATTTTTTTAAGAAAAGAAAAAAAATTTAAAATTCATAATAAAAGTAAAATAAGAATAAGTTAGAATTAAAAAAAATAAAACGTAACCTACTCACTTGTTTACTTTTTTACTCGCTTCCTGCAATTTAATTTAATCAAAAATAAAAGAATTACATTTAAAAACAATCACTCTTTATTGTTCTATACTAGCATTTCTATTGAAAATCTGACAATTTTCAACATGTTAGTCCTTTCATGTCTAACATCCTTTAAAAGAACGATTTTAAGAAAAGAAAAAAAGTTAAAATTCATAATAATAATAAAATAAGAATAAGTTAGAATTAAAAAAATTTAAAAAAAGACCTACTCACTTGTTGACTTTTTTACTCGCTTCCTGTATACAGAGGGAGACCTCATCATCGATTTCCCAATTTAGAGGTGTGGGTAGTCGAAACGAAGATTGTGTTGAAGAAGGTTGCTGAGAACCATTTGTTTGACTTTCAAGTGATGACCTTATAAAGAAAAAAATATTATTTTTCTTAGTTCACATTTTGAGTCTATACTTTTAAAACTTTATATCTTGCTTTTCCAATTTAAATAGAACACCTGAAGAAAATAGTCAAGTTTTCAGACTTTTAATTTTTGTAATTTTTTTCACTCCAAATCAGAACATTGATGCTGAATAAATAAAAGGAAAATGTACCATTAATTTAGCGAAAAGAACTGGAGATCAAAGATAAATTGGAAGTCGTTATGGCGAAATCTTCAGAGGAAGGCATTGGCTTACATTGGGCTGTCTGCCCAACTATGATGATGATGTTGATCTAGTGGTAAGCCTTTGAACGTGTTGGCAAAAATTAACCTAAGGTTAGCAAGTAGATATTTTACCACTTTATATAAACTTTCCAGAAAAAAGGAGCATCTCTTATACTGTTGAATCAAGGTATTTCTGATATTTCCTACCAAGTTCTTTAATAGCATGAAATTACGACTTTTGAAAAAATAACACTTTGAAGAAGAAGGTACCTTTGAACAGGGTAGTTCAACAAAAATGAGTTAACAATTTTTGAGTTGTAATACAAATGAAACTTATAAGACATCAAGAAATCCTTCTGACGCGCCTGCACAAATGAGTTTACAATTCAAATAGCATATTACAAATGAAACTTACAAGATATCGAGAAAGCCTTCTATGAAACGAACAATGGTGATACCTTCTGAGGCAGAGTGCTCTCCTACGAAGCCCACAACCCCATCTCTGGTCACAACAAGCTGGAAAAAAAAGGAAAAAGTAAATTCTTGACAAAGAAACATTTTTTAAAAATATTTTACCCTTTCTTGTTGTGGTGGTTGACTTATGCCTGTTTAGGCAGGTGCGATTGTTCTTGTTTTCCAGTGGCGCCTTATATGGCCAAGAATTCGACTTTCGTCACACCCGTTTATAGGGCGGACCCATTCATACATCCATTCATTCATCCACAGATTGTAATTTTGACCTGAATCAGAGAACAATCGATCTCCAATCCAGCATCCCCAGAGGTATTGATTTGCTTTAGGAACATGGAGGTCTTTCTCGACTCGACAGATTTAACGTGCATCAGTCACTTTACTACACGGGGAGTCTTCGGCCGCCAGGGCTCAAACCCACGAACTCTCGGACATGGGCCCAACGCCCTACCGACCAGGCTATCCCGGCCCTACGCTTTCTTGTATTTACACGAATCGACTCTCGATATTGGTGTAGTTTTACTCAGCATAAAATAGTTTATAAGAAACAATACCTTGTCTTCAGCCACACACACGTCACACCCGTTTATAGGGAGGACCCATTCATACATCCATTCATTCTTCAGCAAATCGTAATTTTTGACCTGAATCAGAGAGCGATCAATCTCCAATCCAGTACCCCCAGAGATTTTGATTTGTTATGGAAACATAGAGAACTTGCGGCTCGACAGATTTAACGTGCATCAGTCACCATTTACTACACAAGGAGTTTTTTTTCCGGCGGGTTCCAACCCACGAACTTTCGGACATGGGCCCAGCGCCCTACCGACCAAGCTATCCCGGCCTCATTGCTTTCGTAATGCTTTCAAGTCGGGTTTACGAGCGGAGAAACGTTCGGTTGTGATGCTTTTGCACTAAACTATGTGATAGGTTAAAGTTTATTCGTTACACTGAATAGGTTAAATTTCTTACCCTTCTTTGGTCTTTTGTTAATTTACGATTCACAAATATGAAAACACTGCACTGCTGCTCTTTGCATGTCTGCAAAGCTACAACTTGATTCGATTTCATCTCTAGGATTATTTAAAACTCACTCATATTAATAATAAGTACCTTCAATTCTATGTTATTTGGGAATTGGTACAACGAAGGCACTAACACATTCAGGTTATGATGCGAGGTCAGATATGTTTTTTGCATTAAGTGTTATTTTCAAAGGAGCTTACAAATGTATATATATATATGAATATAAACGTATACGTTCTCTTATACACTTGTATATACAGACAAAAAATGAATTAAACTAAAAATACAGCATCAAGAAAATCTGTAGCTTTTCAAACAAAACTATTCAAATATTAGAAATCCCCGCAACCGAATTAGGTAAGATTAAGTACTTGTATAAATGCAACAAAAAATTTGGTCCATATTCTCTTTAAAAAAGTTCATAGTGAAGGGTTAATATACTTGGGAATATTTTTTTTGGTGCATTTATATAAGTACTTGATCTTATATAATTCTGGTGTAGACATTTCAAATCGGAAATTAGTTTTGCTTGGATGAGCTACAGATTTTTTTCAAAATGATACTTTTTAGTTTAGTTTCTTTTTTGTGTGAATATACAAGTTTATAAAGAACGTATAAGTTTATTGACATACATTTACACGTGTCTGTTACTTTTAAAACTTAAGAGAAAAAACATATGACCTTAACGTATCACCTCATAAACTGAAATGTATTATTGCATTATTTCTACCACTTCTTACGTGATAGGGAAGTGGTGACACTTAGTAGTCACTCCAGGGAATTGAAATCAGCGATGTAAAAATATCTAAGATCCGTTGTTCAACAACAAGAAAATATGTTCCTCAGTGATATCTACAGGTCGAGGATAAAATAATATGAATATTTTTTATACTATTTTTATGTAAACAATCTTCCTTTTAGCAGCAAATGTTTTGGAATATTTTAGATGGCAAAACTGTTGGCACAATTTGAAAGATCATGCTTGAAGCTTTTAAACATGGTATCCATTTTATCCATGCAAGATTTGCATCGATCAAAATGAGGGCAGAAAGTTAAAAGCTTTTTTACTTTTAAATACCACTATAATTCTAAAAACATTCTTCTTTAAGTATTGCAATTCGGGAAATTTAGCTTTTATACCAGAAATTATGAATGACTTCATAATTCCTGGTATAAAAGCTAAAAAAAAAATATTAATATTCTCCTCATTTTGGTCTATCCGTATTTTGCAAATGTAAAATTGGCGCCATTTCTAAAAGCTCCAAGCATCATCTTTCAAACTGTTCCAATAGTTTAATGTCATGTAAAATTTTCCTATACCTATAATTTTCACATGCGCCTAAAAACAATGGTAGTTAAACGCTCAACTAGCGGAGAAAACTATTTTTATTCATCACATTACAAAAATAAATTTTGTAATCATAAACATTGTATTAAATTTATGTTAATTCTCCTATTAATCAAATTACCAAGTGATTTACACTTCATAAGTTGGCCATCAAGCCCACCAGACTGAACTTGATGTGTTGTTTCTTATAAACATTGTGATACTTTTTACGTGGTTATCTCAAAAACAATGTTTATCAACCATTGGTGCTGAAAGCACAAAAAGAACTTAAAGGAAATCATTTGTGAAAGAACGTTAGATTAGATATTCGTCGCGTAACAGAAGAGTCGTACGCCAAACTTTTCGAACTCAAAACTTTAAGTTCGCTTATAATAATGTGTGCAATAATTTTTTAAAAATATTAAGTCTAAATATTTAGAATCTGGTCAGTTATTGGTAACTTTATCAAACCAATAGGTGAATCAAATGATTAAAATGGAATTAATGTTTTGCAAGAAAATTGTTACATAATATAACCTTACATCTAGCTCAAAATATTCAAGAAACAAAATGAATTTTTACGGTATTTGAGTGAAACAATCAAAAAGCAAAATCCCCAGCGTCGAAAGCGAACGAAATATATTTTTCTTGTATATATGACGATGCATATATTTTTCATTAATCATCTTCGTTTCAAATTTTAAAAAATTTTTGTTTTAGAAAATGAATATATTAAAACAAATGAATTTCATTTCGCAATCATAAATCTCCTCCGTCAACTTTTTAATAAAATTTGTTTTGAGAAAAGAACAAAAAAATATTTTTTTTAATATTAGATGTATTTGAAAAGAAGACCTGACATTAAACAAGTTTTTCCCTTTTAATGTCTTACCCTTTAACGAATTTTAGCAGTCTGTTTAATCCAATTTGAGATATACTATGTCTGAGAGAGCATCTTTCATCTCTTGGAGAAAATGTAATGCGAGCAGGGAAAAATGATGAAATATCGATATCAAGCCATCGCATAATTCTCCCCTTTCTATTAGCCATGTTGCCTTTGATGTTATCTGTTTTGATTATATCACCTTTTAAATTTGTTTTTTATAAAAAGTGTGTGGCAATACTCTGACGTGGGTAATTTTTCTTGCCTACGTTTTATTTTTGGGAGCATTATTTTTCTTTTTATTTAGTTTTCGTTTGAAGATATAATTGAGTTTTAACCTTTTTATTTTCGTAGCTTTTTCAAACGCAATGAAAGATGGTAAAAAGTAAATTTATTGTTATTTTACTAATTAGAACTACTTATTAAATAATGTTTTAAATTTCAAGATAATTTTATTTTCAAATTAACTGCTATAAGTATATTTATGCATTAAAATAATACTTTTCTATTAAATGTCTGTTTCCTATATTTAAATACTAACTGAATTCACGTTCTTCGTAAGGGGTGAAAAAAGGTAAAGAACAAATAAATCAGTACTAAATAACACTTAAGTTATGCATAAAACTAAACGACACGTACCTTCACAATAAATAGAGCTGAAATAATTCCATATTTCTTTCTTTTTTATTTGTTATTCTTTTTCGTGACTTTACGCTATTAGATTAAGCACAACACGTTTCCAGCAGTTCATTACATTAACATTAAATTTTTGATAAATATATATAAACAACTTTAAAAGCACGATAAGCATAATAATTGCATTTTAAAAGCACCAAAAGCATGTTAGATATTTTTAGGAATACTAACTTGATGAAGTAGTCCGTGCCAGCTACCACGTTCACTTTAATCATTTAGCTTTTCTGACATAACGAATAATAAATACTTAATTACTAATATGAAATGAAATGAATTACAAATATGAATAATATTTTTTCAATCATAAACAATATTATATCATAACTAATATAAGTTAGAAAATAACAATAATCTTACTTTTATAATATTTAAAAAATAAGAAAGGACCCACTATAGTTTAATTTAAAACAATGGCTAATGTTATACCAATCACTAAATGCAATTTTTCAAATACTCTCCCGAACGATCTAATTGAAAACTTTGAACAAATTTTAGGATCGAGGGCAGAAATTGTCCCTTACACCCAAGTTTCAGGAGGATAGAACAAACGGTTTTTAAGATACAACAAAGACGTACACACACACGAACTCTTCATTCTATTATTATAGATATACCTACAGTTATTAAATAAATAAAATTATGAAATAGATTAGCAATTAGCCACGCCTAGTATGCTGTTTTTTTTAACTTTTTTTACTTTATAGTTCATTTTTTAGGACTTCTTCCGTTTTTAATTATTTTTTAAGAACTTCGAATGATTTTTTTTTTCAATTTTAGAGAAATTTGAATATTATATCAGGTATATTTTCGCGTGAAGCCATTTTCTTTATTAAAAGTTTATAGATATTCCAGTATAATTATTCTATGACATACCTGGAGAAATTTATCGTACCAACGATTTGCCGTACCAACATCAGTTCCGCTTCCGTGAAGTAAATGAGCCGCCATAGTGGTTAAGTCCAGAGTAGCGGATTCTTTTCGAATTGTAGAATAGTTTGGAACATTGGGAGAGCAAACTCCCAGGCACAAAACGAGAAGACAATTTTCGATTGCCTGCAAGCTCTGTAAGTTAGCCTTACCTGTTAAAATAAATATAGAGAACAAGTTATTACTAATAATTAAACATAATAAAAGTAAATAATTAATAAAAGCAAAAGATATACTTCACTCCCCCCCCCTGATGTAAAAAAATTATATACCATACAGTTCAAAATTTGTCCGACTATTATTAAATAAAATAATAAAAAATAATAATATTTACTAAAATTTATATTTTGACTGGAACTTTCTTTAAATAAACGAATTTTATAATTGTGTGCAAAAAATTTTCTTTGCTTAAAAAATTCTAGAGATATAGCGAAATATGCAAAAAGTAAAATTAGTATTAAGGGGTCCAAACTTTGGACCGCTCTCCTAAACAAACTATCAGAAACAAATTTCTCAGATTACGGCTACCCCTGCATTTTGGGGGTCCGAAGTGCAAATCAATCTAAAAAATTTATGTTTATTCAAAGGAAGTATGTTTTTGAGTCTGATTTCGAAACTTAAAAATATCGTCTGCTCTAAATAATTAGCATATTTGAGGTCACTTTCTCGAACCATTATGACGGAATCCTGGAACGCAAATATCCAATCCTTAATTTAAAAGTTATTCGGGGTGGTCCGTTTCTTTTTCGTGCTCTGTTCTTGTTAAAACCATTGTTGTTAAAATGTTGTTCATCTGTGAAATTCCAAACTTATATCTGACTGATATAAGTTTTGCCTTGTTTTTGTTTGTTTGATTTTGGCAACATTTTATTTTTTTTTAATAGAAAATATATCAATAGAAGTGTTCTTTTTTCCGTCTAAGTTTGTCTTATGTTATAATCTTTATTAAAATATTTCTTTTTCTCAAAATGATCTGTTTATTTACAATTGCAATTTAATTTCAACACGTTATCAGCACGACGCTCTGTGTAAATAAATATTAGAAATTCGGATCTAAGAAGATAGGCAGCACAATAATAATCGCCGCTATGGAAGAATACAAATTGAAGAAGTTGAACGGCGAAAATTATCATGCATGGGCAATACGTGCCCGTGCACTGATGGTGCAGAAGAAATGCTGGGAGGCAGTTGAGCCTGGCTATGGACTTGCTGAAATGTCCGAAAATGAGAGAAAGAAAAATGATGAAGCTTTAACTCTAATGTTCTTGATTGTAGAAGATACGTTTTTGGATGATATTGGCGACTGCGCCAAAGCGAGGGACGCATGGATTGTATTGAAGGATATGCATACCAAATTTGGCTTACTGCATGTTTTACAATTAATGAAGGACTTTTTTAACATTACCTTGAAGCCTGGTGAAACAATTCAATCATATTTGACCAGATTGATTGAAATACACCGAAAATTGTCGAGTGGTGGTTACGCTTTCACCGACAGAGAAGTTGCCCTCGTCATGTTAATAGGTCTGCCAAAATCATATGAAAGCTTAATCCTGAACTTAGAAAAGGACGAAGATAACTTGACAACAACCATTGTGAAGTCTAGACTATTAGTTGAAGAAAAAAGAATATATAGAAATGTGCCAAATGTTGAAGAGCAGGAAGAACGGGCACTTCACACAAGAAACTATAATCAAAAAAGACCAATGCAGACAAACACTGTGAAGAAATGGACAACAAAAAGAAACAGCGAAACAGCTGCAAATTCGAAGAAAACTGTCAGGTGTTTTAGCTGCGGAGAATGGGGTCACATCTCCAAAAATTGTGAAGAAGCACAACAAAGAAATCAAAGCAGTGCCAAGACTGCTATAGATTTAAAAACGAACTGGGCCTTATTAACAAATAAATTTAAAGCTGAAGACTCAACAATCTGGATTCTAGACAGTGGTGCTACAGAGCACATGACGTCAGACAGAAAGAAATTCGAATCGCTAACTGATTACACCTCAGTAGTAGAAGTGGCGAATTCTGAAAAAGTTCAAGTTACCGGAACAGGAAACATCACTATTTCAGTTCAAGAAGATTCTACCAAAAGCAACATTAATCTTGCAAATGTATTGTATGTACCAGACTTGGGCGGAAATTTGCTGTCGATTGGCAGGATTGAAGAAAAAGGTTTTAAGATTGAATTTGCCCATGGTGAAGCAAAAATACTGGCAGAAACTGGTGAAATTGTTTTGAGAGCTAGAAGACAGGGAAGACTATATATTATAGAAGAAGATTGTCCTGCAGCGTACATTTCAACGATCCAGTCGAATGGACTCTGGCATCGCAGGCTAGGACACCCTTCCCCAGGCACTTTGAGAAACATAATAACCACTAAAAGTAAACAGGAATCCAATCTTGAAACAAACAAGCCATGCTCTGTGTGCATTCAAGGAAAGATGAAGCGCAAGAAGTTTCCAAAAATCTCAAACACACGAGCTAATGAAACGTTAGAAATTGTGCACTCTGATGTAGTAGGAAAGATTTCACCGCCGTCACTGGGAGGCTCAAATTACTTTGTTGTGTTCACCGATGATTTTTCTCGTTACTCTACAGTGTATCCAATCAAAACTAAAGATGAAGTCATAATGAAGTTTGATGAATACAAGAGAATGGCTGAAAATTTTCACAGCAAAAAGATAAAAATTTTGAGAAGTGATAATGGAGGTGAGTTTAAGTCACAAAACTTTGACAACTATCTTATTAAACATGGAATTCAAAGGCAGCTAACTGTGCCGGAATCCCCTCAACAAAATGGAATTTCAGAAAGGATGAACCAGACTTTGATCAACATTACCAGATGCCTTCTCATAGAATCAGGAGCAAAGCCAGAATTCTGGGCTGAAGCTGTGTGCACAGCATCTTATCTCCGAAATAGACGCCCATCTACTGCAATTGGAAGAAGTACGCCAGAAAAGTTATGGTCAGGTAAAGAAACGAACTTGGATCACTTGAAAGTTTTTGGATGTCGGGCCTGGAGCCATACACGCTCATTTCAAAGGCGGAACAAATTTGACCCAAAGGCTATAGAATGTATCCATATTGGGTACCCAAGTGGTATCAAAGGATATAAACTCTGGGATCCAGAAAGAAAAAAGTTTTTTATCAGCAGAGATGTGCTCTTTGAAGAAGATGTGTTCCCTTTCAAATTGACCAAAGAAGGACCCTATGAAGATAAGATTTCCTTATTTATTGAAAATGAAGACACAGACAATATGAACTCAAGTGATGAAAAATCAAATAAACATCCAAATTCTGAACTACATGAAACATCGCCAGAAGAAATAGATCAGAATCCAGACACAAACGCCATCAGCCAAGATGAATCCCAAAATAATGTTTGTGGAGATCAGACTTACCAACAAGTTGAAATGACAGAGGAGTCCAACCAACTAGAACATGATCAAGAAGATCCAAATAATCAAGTCTGTCGAAGTGATTCTGCCAGAAGAAGCACAAGAGCTATTAAAACCCCTGCACACTTGCAAGATTATGTACTTTACAAGGCAAAAGAAGCATGTTCTGCAAATGCAAAGCAATTCCATAGGGACCCTGTAACATTGGAAGAGGCTCTAACATCACAAGAAGCAAATTTGTGGCAAAAGGCCATAGATGAAGAAATTAAAAACTTACGTTGTGCACAAACGTGGGAGCTTGTTAGCAAACCACCAAATGTCAAGCTTATCAGTTCTAGATGGATATTTCGGAAAAAGAAAGCTGAGACAGGAGATTGTGATAAATTTAAAGCTAGACTGGTAGCTAAAGGTTACATGCAAGTTCCTGGAATTGACTTTCAAGAAACATTCTCTCCCGTGATCAAATTAAAATCTATCAGGATCTTATTGGCACTAGCTGTGGAATGTGAAATGGATATTCATCAAATGGATATAACTGCTGCTTACCTGAATGGTACTTTAAAAGAAGACATTTACATGAAACAGCCTGAAGGAGCCATAGTGCCAGGCAAAGAACATCTTGTCTGCCACCTTAAAAGAAGCCTATATGGATTGAAACAATCTGGAAGAGAGTGGAATACGTGTTTCGACACCTTTTTGAGAGATTATGGATTAACACGTTCTAAAAGTGATCCATGCATTTACTATCATCCAAATAAAACACTTTACCTTGGCATATATGTTGATGATATGCTTATTGTTGGAAATTCAGAAGCCATAGACATGTTTAAACTTAAGGTTAAACAAAAGTTTAGAGCAAGAGATCTTGGAGAAGTAGGTGAAATTTTATCGATGAAAGTGAAAAGGTATGCTGATGGATCCTTAACCTTAGACCAAACATCCTATGTAGAAGAAGTATTGAAGACCTTTGATGCAATCTTACTCAGAGGAGCATCAACTCCCTTAGACCCAAGTGTTAAACACTATAAGTTAACCGATGCTGAGTGGAAGGAAACTAAAGAAACATCGAACAAAATTCCATACAGGCAGGCGATAGGCAGTTTACTGTATCTTGCCTGTGGTACTCGCCCTGACATTGCTTATAGTTCAACTTATATGAGCCAGTTTAACGAAAGACCTTCTGAAAACCATTGGCGAAGTGTCAAACACTTATTCAGGTATCTTAAACAAACAAAACATCTTTGTTTGACATATAGAAAAACTCGAAAGAAGCTAGAAGTATTTTCCGATGCAGACTGGGCAGCAGATTGCATTGACAGAAAATCATTTAGTGGTTATGTGATCATTCTTGGGGGTGCTGCGGTGTCTTGGTCCAGTAAAAAACAAGGCAATGCATCAGTCAGACTGCTTACGACAACCTCGATTTGTTGATTCCATCAATAACCTCCGGTCCTGGTACTTTATATTCTTTCAATAACAAGTCACCACAAAATTACAAATGACCAAAACTAACTAACTAGATAAATAATAAATGTTTACAAATTTTTATACGGTACCGAGTGCTTAATTGAAACAGTCAATATAAAAAAATGACATTTAATAAATACATCGGGAAGCTTTTTACCTTTAGACAAACAAAACACTGGACAATTCCATCAGCTCAGCTACGATGACATTAAAACTATGTCATTTAACTGCAGGGTATTTTTTAGGCGATGATGCTGATTCAAATTCTATTATTTTCTTATCCCGAAACGGATAGTATACATTTATCACCAAAAACTACATATATCTTATCTTTTCCCTTAACGGTTTCTCTACACTTCTTTATAATAAGAACTCTGGCACAGTTCTAAAAATGTCGTCTGTTTTATTAATTTTGCAATCTATATCGATCTTTGTTATTGCTTAGGTTAGCCTTTGTTCTTTATTACTCTTACAATGCATGTAAATTTAATAAAAAAATTTTTTTTACAGATTTAATATAAAAACGTAAATAATTCAGAAACTTATCTTTTCAGAAACTCAAACTTATTTTTAAGAAATATTGAAATATAAATACCATGGAACAACCTGACAAATTTGTAAAATACAACATTCATTTGAATTTTTAGGATAGCTTCAGAACTTAAAATGTTTTGAACTTTTTAATTTTGAAACAACCCCTTGTATATATTGCTGACATTTTTAGTTTATGTAGCTTCCGGGACTAAAAAAAAATACTCTAACACAAAAGAACAGTTTTTACAAGTAAACATTTTCTCGTCAACGTAGATCCGTAAAACTACTTTTAAATATGCGAAAGCGGATCTCGATTAATCGAGGAAAAATAAGAATAAGAGGGATTTAGTTCAACAAAGAGTATCCGTACACGGAGAATAAACCGTAGGGATTTCTAGACAAAGGGAAATGTCAACAGTGCTTTTTGAAATGATTAATAGAGAAACGTTGCTTTATTAAATGAATATTCGCGTTTAATATGATATAGTAGAAAAGAGATCTACAGGGAAAAAATAACTTCAACGATTTTCGCATGTTATTGTCGGAAGAAAATTTATTAAACAAGACCCAAGCGTTAAAATGAATGAAACTCCGGACTGACATTATACTAAAATATCTCATTTCTATTAGCTATATATTGAGATTAGATATTACAAAATAAATAATATTTAATGTCAAAAAACATTTTAAAAATAAAATACACTTTTATATGTATTTAGATATAGGGTCCTTTTAAAAACGCGCAGCCGGTATCCTAAAATGAAAGAGGGAGATCTAATTTATTTCTGTAATTGAATTTATACTGCTAAAATAAGATAGTTCAGTTTATGAGGATATATAAGTAATATAAATATTAATATTTAGGATCTGAATTCAGAAAATAGATATTTTTTGGTAAATGGTTGGCAAAAGTGGGACATATCTATTTTTTTTTCAATGCCTATACATTTAAGCTGACCACAGGCCTTAGTAAACTAAAGCATTGGTAGTGAAATTTCTAAGAAAAAAAATTCTAAACACACCTCTTTACTTTTAAAAAAATTATGTCTGGTAAGTAATTTGTGCTGTTGTTCCCCGAATTTTAAATTGGAAAGGTAAAACAGTGAGTTTTCAAACATCCGTACAGAAATTTCACTATCAGTTTTTTAGTTATTTGATGATGTTGGTCAACTCATATATAGCCCACTTTATTGGGCTATGCATTAATCACTTAATTTTATCAAAATAGCCTATTTTTTGTTCAGTAGAATCTCGATCGATTATTTCTCAGGTGACTATTGATTACGAACGATATATACAGGAAAAAGGTGGATGCTGGTGAATATTAAATATTAAATAATGACTTGAATATGTAAAAATAGTAATTAAGAATTGATGGATTTGAAAATCAATAACGGTGGATGCGGGTGAATATTAAATATCAAATAAGGACTTGAATATGTAAAAATAGTAATTAAGAATTGATGGATTTGAAAATCAATAACGGTGGATGCTGGTGAATATTAAATATCAAATAATGACTTGAATAAGTAAAAATAGTAATTAAGAATTGATGGATTTGAAAATCAATAACGGTGGATGCGGGTGAATATTAAATATCAAATAATGACTTGAATATGTAAAAATAGCAATTAAGAATTGATGGATTTAAAAATCAATAAACTTTTAATGTGTACAAAACATGTTAATTGAAAAAAATTATGTATTAAGTGGGAAAAAATAAAGGAAGCACCCTAAATCATTTTAGATTCTAATGATCGAATTTTCACATACTAGGACTGAATCTTAATGATTCGAAGGGGTGACCACAAGCATGCTAATTAGCTAGTGCAGACGATATTTTAAGTTGCGAAATCAAATACAAAAACGTACTTTTTCTGAATAAAGATATTTTTTCCCGACGATTTATAATATAGGACCCCCAAAATATAGGAGTAGACACAAACCTGGGAAATGTGGCCCCAATATTTTGGTCAGGAGAGGGGTCGAAAGTTTGGAACTTTTAATGTTAGTTTATTTTTATCTATTTAGTCCTAACTCGAGTAATTTTTTAGCAAATTAAAAAAAAATTGAGCACAATTATAAAATTTTGTTTGTCCAAAGATAATTCTTCACAAAAAATAATATTTACTAATTATTTAAATTTTTTTATTATTTCATTTAATAACGGTCGAAAAAATTTAAAATGTCTCGTATGCAAATTTTTACGTTATTTTAAGCAACATAATTTTATATAGCAACACGCAAATTTAGAACGAAATCAGTCCACTCGTTCTAGAGAAATCGAAATTTAAAAAAGTTAGATACTGAATAATATATGAATAAACGTATTTTTTATTGAAATACAATAACCTTAACAGAACAAAAAAAGTTATCAGACTTTAAACAGAACAAAAAAGATTCATATTCGCGGATGTTTTCGGGTGCCAACGAACAGTTTTGTGTAGGGAAAAAAAAATCACAATTAAAGGGAATCTGAATTCATAGTCCTAAGATTGCTCATTGCCTCGAAGAGGCCTTTTATCTTCCATACTGATTTAGAAAATTATGTATTACTTTTTCATCGTGATTTAAATAATAATTAACTTGAATGTTTATAAGATGATTGAATATTGATGAAAGAGTTCTGGATTCATAACATATTTTGTAACCCTCTGATCCAAATGGAGCATTGGTGTCCCTTTTATATGTTTCTTTTCTGACGCTCTAACTACAATTAAAAATGTATCTTAGTATATTTTGAGAAGACCATTAACAGTCATCACTAAGAAATTAAAAATTTCTAATTCTAACCATGAATTAATAAAAAAATAATAAATTTTCCCCTTTCTTTGACCAAAATTAATTCAAAATAAAGTAAATTGTGCAAAAAATATGTTTTATAATAATTTTGCATCAAAGAATTAATATATCAGATACATAATAAAATATTCAAATGGTAGTAAATATTAAGGGACCCGCAAGCAAGGGGACTTTTGATCAGTTAAAGTTTAAACTTACGCAACCATATTTTCTGAATGTCGATTACTGCCCATAATTCGATGGTCCAAAATTTGATAGTAAATCGCTTGAAAAAAATATAAGTAAGTTCAGAGAAATTACGTTTTTGTGTCCGTTTCTGCAACGAAATTGATAGTTAGTTCATTTTCTGTTAGTACTTTTTATTAGCACATCTTAACTATTAAGATTAGCACTTAATACTGGAAATTCCGATCATTAGGGCTAAAGTTGTACTGGGTGATACTTTTTTTCTGCAAGCTACCCATATAGATCAGAAACATTCTGCATACACGTATGCAGACTACACGCATGCAGCTAACTGTGCTAAAGTATAAGTATATACAAAGGTTAAACAAAATTGTGGAAACACTTCTATACTAATTCTATGTAAACAATCTTACTTTCAGCATGCAAATGTTTTGAAAGATTTTACGTGGCAAGACTATTGGCATAATTTGAAACATCATGCTTGAACCTATTAGAATACTGTCTTTTTTTCTTCCTATACAAAATTTGCGTCGATCAAAATGAGAGCATGGAATTAAAAGCTCCTTTTCTTTTTCAATACCATTATAATTCTAAAAGCATTCTAAATATTGATATTCTACAGAAAAATGTGTCAAGGCAGAATTTAATGATATGTTCAGCAAAAAATTCTTAAAGGAAAATATTGCACACAGCCCATTAGCAGCCTTTTTCCTTATCGGATGGCATACTATCCAAGAATTATTGCAAATAGTGTAAATATTGTACACAACCTTTTTTCCATTGTATTACTATTCATTTATATCAGGCTGATGTAACTGGGGAGCAACATACCAGAAGCTGCGGACAGCCGCTGGAGAGATGGATCCACTAGCCGTGCACCTTTACCATTACTTTTATTTTACTTCAATGTTTGTGCCGTCCATATACTAGACTATTTGCTAACCCATGTCCTTATCTAATCTCCTTGAGCCATGCCAGATCCGATGAATCAGTAAGAGACTACCGGGGCCGGTACTGAGTAACCATTGCAAATCTAAGTCTAATGATTTCAGTATTGCTGGTATTAAAGCTAGATAGAAGTTATTAACTTTCCCTCATTTTGGTAGAACGGAATTTCGTATGGTTAAAAACAACATCATTTCTTAAAGCTTCACGCGTTATCTCTCAAGTTGTGCCAGTAGTTTTGCGCCGTAAAATCTTATAAAACATTTGCTGCTAGAAGAAAGATTGTTTACCTGGAATAAGAAGTATTTCCACAATTTTATCTAACCCCCGTGCTAAACAGATATCCGAAAATAAAAGTAAACATACTTTTCATCATTTTATTTCTTATTCTGGCCCAAGTTTGTCGGTCTTCAGTGGTCAGTAAGCCAACAGGCGGTTGAATGTTTTCTTTGTCTTTTGCCATTTGACTCACTAGACGCAATTGTTCCGCAAGAGTATCTTCGGATGGTATCTCATCTGAATTTGCTGCTTTTACTTGCAGTGTAAAGAACTGAAATGAAATAAGGGTTGTTATGACTGATTCGTTACATCTCTTAACTCATTTGTGTCCAGTGTCCATAAAAATGGACAATTGCTTGTATAAAAAGGAAGAAAAAAAGTGTTAGAACGTATGTTTTATCGCTAGAATTTATTTTTTAAAACAGTATATCTCTGTCTACTATAATATACTGATGGTATAAATAATTATATTTGGATTTAAAGTTGATTCACGAAACTTCTTTGGAAAAGCCATCAATTTCAGGAATGCCAACTGCTTCGCTTTTTGAAAATGTGCATGATACATGTAATGAAGTCGCTTTTCAGATGTCACTTCGAATTTTTGATATGTAGTGGTGGAAAAATTACTTAAATGGTAAAATACTAAACTAAACTTAAATTTCGTTTCCTCTAGAAAATACTTCTTCACAAAGTGGGGCAAGTTGGCATCTTTGAAATTATGATACCACAGTATTTAATGAAATTTTTAGCTTTGAAAACTTTAGTAAAGACATAAATCTAAGGCCAATGCCTGCTTATTTTTGTAGCGGCTTAACGTTATCTAAAATACAAACTATTTAATCTTTTTTAAACTTCAATTCGCATTCCAGTTAGCAATAGCTAACTGGAAAGAGCCACCTGAAAGTTAAAATTTCAATATGGATCGGAAAAGGGCCGTAAACGGCTTTAGGTGGCCAGACGAATTTCGATGATGATTCACAGCGCTTATTCTAAACTAAAGCAGAGATGCCAACTTGTTCCACATTTGCATTTTTAGTCACCCTTGGCCACCCTGCAGAATTGATCATTAAATTTTATATATAACTACATAATCATAATTTAACGTTCATCTGTCATCAAGAATACTCCATTTGCATTTTCACCTCCTCATCGAACCACCACATCGATCAAGATAAACGGATAAAGGGCCGCAGAATCTACTATAAGCAGAATCTACCAATACGGAAGCGTCTCTTTGGATATCTTCGTAATAAGTTTTTATTTTTTTTTTGTTTTATTATTTTTTTTTAGCTTATACCAGCATCACTTGATATACTGTTTGTCTAAGATAGGTACTCTGACCGCCACTAAGTCTGCGGCAGTCTGGTGCTATGGAAACAAGAAGAGGGCATTTTAGGGAGGGTAGCTTCGATGAAAGAGGTCTCTTCTCTCGCCGAAACCAATCCTAAAGAGGGATCCCGCACCCCTACTTGAAATTATCATACCTCGTTACCATAGTCACCGCCACAGCTCTTGACGAATGTCTGGCAGATATCTTAGACAAACAGTACACCATTCGCCGGAGTGTAAAAACACTCCGCACAGATTCGTAGGGAACAGCAACAAATTAAGCAAAAACTTAAAAACATTAAAACATTCGAAATACAAAAACAATTAGAACAAGGAAACATTAAATAGAATATCAACAATAGAAATATAAACAGAATATATTCTTCGTTATAAGTTGCATCCACCTACTCGCATATTCGATTTTCCCAATATTGTTGTAAAATTATCTCATATAAAGTAAAATAAAATGTGTTCTAAAAATGTATTTTTCTTGTTCATCAATTCATCTCGTCAATTATAATATTAACCATTCAACAATAAAAATAAAAAATTTAAAAAAAATCTTTCCCGATTTTTATTGATTTTATATTTAAAGCTCATTCTTTTAAAAGCTGAAATACGTGTGAAGCATAATTAATATTGTTTGTAAACATGTCTTCTCATAAAATTCTTTCTTATTATCATTCTGTCTCATTCAGCAATAGAATAAACGAACAAAACGCATTTCATTTCCATTTCAAGTAGTTTCGATCAGTTCGTTCTAAGTAGAAAAGCCCTTCTGCAAATCAGAGCCTCAATATTCGTTCTACGTGCCAACCATATCATCATGCAAAACCATCTGAATAATTGTTCGCAACTATATCCATCTCTAGCGATAGTAGCGCGTCCTCGCAAATCCATAAGGGACCCTCGCTGCCTGAACGCAAATGTAGATTCTATAAAGGCATGCATTGCCTTCAAAGACTTGGTAATGAGGTAGAGATGCTTTTGCATAATGAATATCGTTTCACTTTGCCACCTAAGGAATTGCAAGATAGATGGCGCTGCTAAACTTTTTCTGCTCATTTACGGGAAGGAAATTAATTTCCAACAACTGGAAAAACTGTCTAATTGTTAACGACTTTTCTATAGAGTAAAATCATAGATCAGTGTTAAATGCTCTCGAAACAAAGAGTTTCTGAATCTATTGGGGACAGTATATATTTACATTGAGTAAATATTTAAGGAGTATTTATTTATCTTGTTTTCTCACTTGAAACATAATAATGTATGTAAAAAAATTATTTTACCAAAATGCATTTACTTATCTAAAATAAGAAATTTCTCTTGTGTTTTCCTGTCTTTCCTTATCAGGCAGCTAAATATTTTTTTTCTCCTATTCTATTATATACTACTCAATTTAAAACTCTTCTGAGAATATTTTATCGAATAATATTTGACATTTTGGAATTGCATAAGGGAAAACGGATAAATATATATATTCTTTTCAAAAATATATTTAAGAACCAAAGCAGTAAGCGTAACGCTCAGTATAAATTTTTAAACTTCATATCATTTTGGTAAACATAAATCAGTACTACAATTTCTTTACTGTTTATAAAGTTAAAATTCAAAATTTTGGTAAGTTTATTTTTATTATTTATGTTATTTTACTTCATTTTTATTTTGTATTTTTATTTCGATTTTGTATTTTTTTTCCTTTCTATTTAAATAAAGCAAAATTGTTTTTTTTTCCATCAAAATTTAGGACAACATCGGACAACACATTATCTTAAAAAATTAATCTATGGAAAATGCTATCGGCGTTTTGTACATTACATTTTTGGACAATCCTACATTTAAAATAAAAGAAAATTGCATTTTGTAATGGAAATATTTTATATAAAATCTAAGAAAGGGCTGAAATACTCGAAAAATTCCTTAAGATTGGATTAATATGTTTAACACGTTCACGCCGGGGTGACCCACCGGTGGGTCAAGCTAGATTTTCTCATCTTGGCGGCGCATCGGAGTAAAAACTGGTAACAAATAAATTTCATTTTTCAGTTTTTTTCCGGGAATAATAAAAATCTATAACTACCAATTGTTTTTAACGGATGCAATTTTTGTATTGAATTGCTTCTTCGACGTGATAAATTTTCTTACAGTGAATTGTTATTGTTGAGAATAGATTAACTCCTCCCGAATATTATCTAATATTGAAATAGTTCTTCTTCCAGTATTTTCTCTTTTCCCGTACCAGTATTTTCACTTTTCCCGGCGTGAACGTGTTAAAGTAATAATTACTAATACTAATTTTGTGGAGAAAAAAAAATGTAGAGCTGCCTCTTACATTATTTTTTGGGTATACCATCAAAAAATCAAATTACCTTTTCTTAAAATCACTCATGCAGTAACATAATTTATCTTTTCCTACCAAGGACAAGGTTAAGGATATTATTAAATATTCGTCTTGTTTTAACTTTAGACCATTACTTTTATTTATAAACATTTCGTCTCTATCTAAGAAGATTCAGCTCAGTTAACTTGTTTGGCTCTGTTAACATCATGAATGTCCTAAATCGGCATGATATATGATATGTGAATATATTCTTTTGAGGTATTTATAGAAAAATTTTCCAATAATTTATGTTAATTTCTGTCATTAGACTAAGTTATAAATTTACTTTAAATATTTGTTATAGATCAAATTTAAACTTAGATGTTGTCTGTGCATAAGGTTTAGTTCTGTGTTACGCTTCTGAGTTTTGAGAACTGTCAAGTATCGATTCTGTCTAAGTGTAAACACCCTATTACTTTTTTCATACTCTTTACATCACTACTTGAGTTTTCGAAACAAACATTTGGAAAAGGCCAATGTAATCAATTATTAACTATTCGCTTCTGCGTAAAGCATCACATCTATAAAGAATAGTTACCTCGATTGAAGAGAGGCCATAAGCTAATGCGATGTTTCTACAGAAGTGACATCTTTTACGATCTTGTTAAGTAAAGTCAAAAGTACTTTTTCCACTCTATCTCAAATCCCGCGTGTCACGTGAGCAGGAACTCTAAACCTAACGGTGCACACTTCCAGCTATTGTAATCTCTTAAGAAGCTCGAGTTTTTCTTCCAATGTTGCCAATTCACGCATCTAAACTTCTTTCAGAATACCGATTGACTCTTTCTTTCTTTATGTGTGACTAAAATCCTCCTATTCTGGTAGAGATTCGTGCTTTTATTTTGAAGATATACTTTCTATTCTTTCTTTTGCTTGAATCAAGCACAAACAAGGACTTTAAAATACTATTTTTTTATCACACGATGTCGTTTGTCATCTGAATATATTTGTATTCAGAAACAAAATAAAAGTTTACAAAATTTTAAAAATGAAAATGAAATTTTGCTTAAAATCTTGTTATCTGTTGGAGTTGGACGTGACATTTTGTTCTTAATTTTTAGCCATATTGATTTGATTCTAAAAAGAAACATTATACTATGATAACCGCACGAACAATGCTTATTATTAAATTTTGTTTTGTATTTAATATAAGTAGATTTTTTTTGTTAAACTAATACTTAAGCCATGTCTAACATCTATATTATATAAAACTCTATTGTTTATATTCTCACAAAACCGATAAAATTCCTTTTCGTTCGAAAACTTTTATTCTCAGGAATATGATAGATGTACAAAGAAATTGCACAAACGAAAAAGATGCAATTGGTACCGGAAAATTGCACTAAAAATTGCCGAAAAAGATCCTCAAAACATTTGATTACTGTTTTCAAAAATGTGCCTAGCTTAGGGCGCATACCGCCTGCACATCACGGGTATCATAGGACATCCCCTGGTACCCTGCTGGACATTAAATGTGACTGAGGAACCCAGACTGCTTTGGTCAGATTTGTAAGTGTCCATCTTTTGAGGGAGGCAGAAAGATCTTCCCTACTTGCAAAAAAATGCTGTGTTCAACCAGCTTCGCCGGAACATACTCTACCATGCCTTGGACATTCTAAGGTGGATCTTACCATAGATCCCCTTTTTGTTGCAGATTTTTTTGTTGTTAGTGACTTTCTGGAACTTGTCTGACATATGTCAGATTAAGAGGATAAGATGTCAGATTGAAAGGATAAGCAACAACAACAAACGTGAGTCACTTCCTACCTGCGGGTATTCATTGCAGCTGAGGCAAGATCATTTGAGCGATTTCCTTGATCATCTTTTTGTGCAATTCTTTGCACATCAGTTGTATTCTTGAGAGTAAAACGTTTTCTGGAGCATCTTTTCCCATTCTTGTATTAATCTTTTAAATGTGAAAGTGGAAATTTACCTTTCAACTTCTCACAGCTTGTGTTCCGATCAAATGTTCTAAAACAAACATTACTCCTGTAGATATCGCTCTATCACCATCAAATTTTTGCCGTCTTCTTCAGATTCACACTTTCCTTTATGTTGGTTTCAATTATACTTATTATTTTATGTAAATAACATAGTAATTTGGAGATTTGGTTTAGTTTTAATGCTACTTTGTACTGTCGTGCGACAGAAAAATATTTATAAAAGCGCTTTACGATCGATTTCTTCACAACTATTTTACTTCCATTGCAATTGCTAACAACATCAAAAAATTTCGGGAAATGAATAAAAAGAAATTATTTTAATATGGTAATCGTACGAAAAATGCCAAATAAATAAAATTCTCATTATTGAGTTTTTTTTCTCTTTCGTTAATTATTCTATTGCACGTCAGTATACAGGTATGCTAACTGATATGTATTTTTATATATATATATATATATATACACACACACACACACATATATATATATATTTATATATGCATNATATATATATATTATAAAGTAGTATAGTATAAACAGTAAAATTTTCAGCATTTTGCCACTTTTTAATAAAGTATGTGTTTCTTCTTATGAGCTTTGTTAGAATGTAATAGTGGTCAAATGGTCAAAATCAGTTTTCTTTAAATATATTGAACCAAGAATTAAATATTATTTTCATGCCACTGAAAAAATTTCCTCTGAAAGCAGATGATATTGACATCTGTGTAATTTTTGAAGGGAAGAGTTGCGCTTTATCAACAAAGAGGGGCCGAAAATAACGTTGCTCATTGAAAATAAAATAAATAATTGTCAACCTACTTTTTTTTACTCAAGCACTACAGCCCATTTTATACTTATCGTCCTTTTAAAAGAAAGGTTCCTTTTTGCGGAAAAATGTGATCTCACAAATGTTCTGTTTATTGAAATCATTGTGCAAAAACAAGATAGTTCTTTCTCTGTTATAATATATTATTAATATAAAGGCAGTAAAATCCTGTCACAATGAACTTTCTGCGGACCCAGAAATAAGTCCTCTATGGTACATTGTATCAAAATACTTTAGAAGAAATAATTTTTTGCATGTGACAATAGCATTATTAGAAATTGTGATATCGATTATTAACTGATTAAACAGATAATAAATTAAATATTATAAAGAAAAATAATGATTGGATTAATTTATTGGTACAGAAGAAATAAGAGATTTCGATTGACTACAGTTCAATTTTAAGCTAGAATTCACCAATTTTTGTATCAGAAATTTATAAAAAATTCAGTGTTTTCCATTCCTTATTTTTTGTAGGGAGAAAATTCAGATTACATAATGCCAATTTCACTTGCACTTTAAAAATAACCAAAATTCCATGTTCTTCATCGTTGGGGGGGGGGAATAAGAGAGATGTTCTACTTAACAACTTGTTCGCGTTAGTTTTAACTTAAAATCAAAGAGCATGTAAGATTTGACGCAATTTAAAGAAATGTTGTCACTTGCAAGTGAAATGAAGGTAGGGAAATAGAGAAAAATAAAAAAATGCGAAATTGAAATTGGTATTCAATAAATGAACTACCAATTTTTCAACTGTTCATTATAAGCGTACAGAATATCGTAAGTTAGATAGAAGTTCAGAATTGATCACTAAAAAATATCACTGGAACCAAGTATTCACTGTATCCCAAGTTTATTATAGCGAGGTTCGACTTTAAGTGTAAATCTGAAGTCAGAGAATAGTTTTATTTCAAATGTAATTACATCCCGTCTAAAGGGTCAGCATAAACACTACTCCATTTTTTCCTACTTAGTTTCTATATTTTCCATCTCCTGTTTTTATTTTCTGATTTGTTTGTTTGTTTTGTTTTAAAATTCCATTAATTGTTTTTTTTTCCTTCCAAATTTGATTACAAAGTAGCATTGAAATGTGCATAACTAAAATTTTAATGCTTTTAAATTGAAAGAAAAGGGTTCTTATCAGAGGTTTCACAGATTTTATAAGTTGTAAGTTTTTAGAACTTCTGTTTAAAAAAGAGTACTAGCGTGCATGCTAAGATAGACAAAAATACTTAAGTATCCAATGTGGGAAAAGGGACTAGGTCTCCTAGTTCTTGTTTACTTTTCAATTGTAGGGATTTGTCACATGTGCACCATTAACTATAAGCAAATTAACTGAAATATCAATGACTTACCACGGTATTAATAAAATTTAAAAATAAATGTAATAGAGATGCCACGCATGAATTCGACGTGCTAACAGCCTCCACACAAACTGCTGACCTCATAAATTCCTATCATAACTATTTTAACAAACATGATGGAAGGGACAGGGGACGCTGCGCGGCCTAGGTACTCAGCTCAACAAGCAAAAGAATAAGATGAATTCGACGTGACCAAAATAAAGTTATAAAAATATAAATAAAGTAAGTGGATTCATACGAAACAAAACCTTCCACGAAGAACTATAATGTTCCCGATCAACAATGTATTAAAACCTTTCACTTAACTATCACTAAAAAAGTTAAGATTCTTAATGAAACTACAAAAATTCCATAGTAGTTGGAGGGAATGGTATTGTAGAAAATAGATAATTTATTAAGAGGCTCTCTCTTAATTTGTAAAAAAAAATTAGTTCCAATATAGGCTGTACGTTCTCTAATTAAGTAATAGAATCTCCAACTCGTGTCCCATGACTTTAAAAACACCTCATAGATTTTTTTCGCTCATATAATTCATTAAATGCTTTACCTGATTTTTACAAGCAACGATTATGTGCCACGGGTCATCAGGTCCTTGATGCTCTGACATGTAAAGTTCATCTTTGTTTTCTCCTGGTCTCCTGTAGCTCGAGAAGAAATTTGCATAAGTCTTCATACACAAGGGAATTTCCTTGCCACCTCCTCTAACTTTGATGACATCTTTTGATAAGGATTTACTGCAATCAAATAATACCATTGAGTGACGATATAGGCCATGCCGAAAAAAACAGCAAGCTATTTTTTAATAACCGTATTAAACTTTTGAAAAATAACTGTGTTACAAAACGAAAATGAAAAGTATTACCTGTCTATTTTCTTTTTATAATCCAGTGCATATAATATGAATTTTGCGGCGAACCTAGAAGAATAAAATTTTCATCACTTAAAACTAATACGATATAAATTTAATTATATGAAGTATTTTGGACTAGACCTGTATTCGGATAACAGGATGTTCAGATTATAGAGAAAACATAATTTTTAAATCTGTTTTAATCAGCAATCAAGCTTTCCTTAATTAGCAAGGCTCTATATCATCTCTTCATAATTAGGAAGCCCAAAATAATCGACCTTCCTATTGGTGAAATCCCAACAATATAAATATGCAATAATAGCAATTGTGAACATGTTAAGCAAAAATTATGAAAACAAATTTTTTCATCAATAACAGTCTTAATATTATATTTTATGTCAGACAGTCGAGTTTGCGGGCCTGGAGCAGTATCTAATCTAGCTCTGAATGTTTTTGGTGTATGCATTAGCTGAGAATAAATAAAAAAAGCTTAGTTATGTTTTGAAATGAAATTCAACGAATCATACTCATAGAAAAAGAACTGTTACAAAGGTTGAGAATGATTTTCCGAAAAACATGTATCTTAATTGTTAAATTTAGTTATTTTGATTGAAAGTGAAAAGTTCGAAGGAAAAAACAGGTTAAATTGTTTTTAATAAATGTATATTAAATAAATGAATATATATATATTTTTTAATTTTGCTATTTCTTTTTTCCACTGCAATTTTACTTACAATTGTTACAACAGTTGTAACAATTAGATATGATAATTATACAGGTTAGAAAATTACAGGTTTCAAAAATCCTTACGAGTTGAAAAAAAAATACTGTTACAGAGAACTGTTACAAAGGTTGAGAATGATTTTCCAAAAAACGTGTTTCTTAATTGTTCAATTTTATTTTGTTTAAAATTGAAAAGTTCAAAGGAAAAAACAGCTTAAATTGTTTTTAATAAATGTATATTCTTCTCTTAATTTGTTCAATGCATTTTCATTAGAATAATTTTTTTTAATTTCGCTATTTCTTTTTTCCACTGACATTTTACTTACAATTTTTATAACAGTTGTAACAATTAGATATATAAATTATACAGGTTAAAAAATTACAGATTTCAAAACTCCTTACGAGCTGAAAAAAAAAATACTGTTACAAAGGTTGAGAATGATTTTCCGAAAAACGTGTTTCTTAACTGTTAAATTTAGTTATTTTATCTAAAATTGAAAAGTTCAAAGGAAAAAACAGCTTAAATCTTTGTTAATAAATTTATATTCTTTTCTTAATTTGTTCAATGTATTTTCATTAGAATAATTTCTTTTTAATTTTGCTGTTTCTTTTTTTTTTAATTTTGCTATTTCTTTTTTCCACTGACATTTTACTTACAATTTTTATAACAGTTGTAATAATTAGATATAAAAATTATAAGTTAGAAAATTACGGGTTTCAAAAATCCTTACGAGTTGAAAGAAGAAAAAAAAACATTTTTTCTCGGTACTCGAGAGTTTCACACAGGAGCCTTCACCAACAAAACATTAATTTGTTTAGCACATAAAAAGATACAATTCTGCATATTTATATGGAACAAAGAATAGTGTTAGTTGTTCAGACCTCATTTTTATTTGAATTAAGACAGCGTGTCAATCAAATTGAGAAAGAAAAATAACACTTCGAAATCGACATCGGTTAACAGATTAGAATGTAACAAATTTGGATAATCTGGGTTCGATTGTTTACAAACTTATGCTTTAAATTATTTACAATTAATCATTTAAATTACTACAATTTAAAAGTGATACAATGCAGATTCTTGGACACATTTAGCAACAAAAAAAATTACTTATTTTGTTATTATATAATTTATAGCAATATCTCATTTCTTGAAAACTTAATGTAAAATTTTTGTGTTTTTAAATTATTTTAATAAAAACTACTTTGATCTAATAGTATATAAAAACCTTATTATATGATAAGTTTTGTTAATGAAGACAAAACTAATAGCAAATAAAGATATATGCAAGTCTGGCGTAAAATATTAATGCAGA